CCCCAAAACCCCAAAACCCCAAAACCCCTCAAATTAAATCGTAAAATAATAGAAAAGAAATAAAATATTTAAAATATAAAATGCTGAAAGACAAGAAACTTGAGTATCAAAGTTACCTTGAAGAGTATCTTGAAGATCAGAAAGTCTACGATATTTTCGAAGATATGATGAAAAGTCTCATCATGCAAAAGCCCAAGGATCCCATCTAGTTCCTCATCAAGAAACTAACATCTCAGGAAGGTAAGAACTCACATTCAATACTCTTATTATCATTATTGAAACTTGATTATGCTGAGATATTAACAATTCATATAGTGAAGCGTTTTATTATTGTGGGACCACCAGGCTGCAAGAGAAAGGAGATTGCTTTAAGTTTGGCTGAGTATCTGTCAGAAGACCTATCTTTGGTTTGCATTTCAGTAGGAGACTTGTTGAATAAGGAGATCTCTAAGAAGTCTGAGTACGGCAAGCAGATCGTTGAGTCAAGAAAGACCTACTCATACGTGAAAGACGACATTGTAACTGAGTTAGTCAAGGGACAAATTGAAGCATTAGAAAAGGATCAGAAAAGCTGGATCATCGAGGGATTCCCAAGAACCAGAAAGCAAGCTCTTGCTCTTCAAAAGATGGGCATCGTATTAGACAAGTTCTTATTGCTTGACGTTGCAAATGGGCAAAGCATTGAGAAAGTTACTAAAAATTTGAAAAGTGAAGAAGCCATCATTCAATACAGAGATGAAGCCATTGACAAATTTGCTGAAAATGCACTCACTGAATACAGAATGTAAGTAGCATTTCAATTTACCATTCAATCAATGATATCAGCAATAACTAATTTCAAACTATAGTCAAATCGAAGGCGTAAAGGAGACATGCAGAGGTGCAATTATTGAAATTGATGGTAACAGACCAGAGGGAGTGATCCTGGAAGAAATTGTTCGTACCTTAAAGCTTTCTAGATCTGCAGGACCAAGAAGACCTCCAAGAATCTTTATCATGGGGCCTCCAGGTTGTGGCAAGACTCAGCATGCAATGACACTGGCTTAGAAATTTCAATTGCAATATGTGAAGGTCAAGCACATGATCAAGGATGTAATTAGATCAGAGGGTAAGAGCCAAAAAGCAAAGGACCTTAGAGAAAGACTCAACAGTGGCGACTCATGTAAGATTGACACTTCAAATTAATTATTATTGAATAGTCCCAGATGACTTGATTATTGATTTGGTAAGAGACAGACTATCAAAGCCAGACTGTAAGATCAATGGCTACATTCTTGATGGATGTCCTACAACTCCAGAATAAATCATGAAACTTCAAGAACTAGAAATATCACCATCATTAGTTGTTGCTCTTGATTAAAATGACGCACTTACTTATGACAAACTGGAACACATCAGATATGATCCAATCGACAACAGATTCTATCACCTTTTGAACGATAAAGTGCCCGCATAGATCCAATCTAGACTGATCTAGCAGGCTGAACACTCCCATGATGTGCTTAAAGTCAGACTTGAGGAGTACAATAACTTCCTCGCCACAGTAGAAAATGAATACTCAAGTCATTTGATTAGAATTAATGCTGGAGATGAACCACAAAGAGTGTTCTTAAACTTATGTGAAGCAGTTGAAAAGCCAGTCAGCACTGTTTGATATACTCAATGATAAAGGAGGAAATGTGATATTTGATGAGAGGCATCAATTAATAATGATATATAAGATAATTTAAATTTTAAACAGATAAATGTTAAAACAAAATTATTGAATTTATTTAAAATCTCTCTGAATAATATAAATGCTAAACAAATTGAGATCACCCTCTTTTACAAATAAATCAACTGTAACTTCCTAATCATATTCCAATTCAGCTATTTACTCCCAATAGGCCAAGTAAAAGAGTCAAGTGCAAAATGTGCATCACATTCCAACAGTTGATTCCAATCAATAGCCCTCCAAGCATAGTAAAAATCCGACGAACTAGGCAGGAGGAGGAGCAGACTTCGGATTTCTGGGTCCTGTTGGCCCCATTAATGAATCGAAAAAGCAAAGTTAAAATTAAAGCATGCAACATAAGCCAAAAACCTCTAAGTCGAATGAGAAACACGTAGTTAACAAGATCACTTAGGGCGTGCTGTAAAAAAACAGAGTTGATTAGGAAATAAACAGATCAAACAATATGAGATACGAGTCTATCCAGTCTAAAATCAAAACTAAAGTAAGAAAACTTCTTATAAATAATTTCAAATCTCTGCTCTTCCCAATTAATTCCCACAGCTTATTTAATCAACTGTAGAGGAGATATCAGCAGTCTGGCAGCAACTTAAACATCAAGGAAAACTTGTACTCGCCATCTAACGGTAATAAAAACCACGTTAATATTGGTGGCGGCTCGTAAACTATGGTGGGGGCAAACTATGAGCAAATGTTTAACCAGACTATGGTTGGAGCTGGATTGTAAAATATTACTCTTGGACTTAGTGAAAGATAACACATAGATCTTAGTCAGACTCAGAACATTGTAGACATGAAGCAGTATAACACAACAAGCACTGTTATTAGTAATCATGTTTCAGCATAATAAAGCAGAGGGGGCTTAAATATAACATAAGTCCTGAAGAATAATGGAGCATAGCCTTCTAATGATGGTTAAAACTTTGATTTCGGATGTTCATTAAGAATGCCAGGATCCACCAAGAATTCTTAGAATAAATCAGGACAAGATGGAAAGACTTAGAGTGTTAAAGGCAGTTTTTTCGGGAATCAGTAATTACAGGATTTTATGAGCAATATGAGCAATGTCTCAGCCAACTTGCACATGCCTTTTCCTTCTCAGGTAAGAATCATTCATTTACCCATCAGTATATAAATCAATATAAATATTTAGAACATTACTGTCACCCAGTAAAAGCACGGAAGTAACAGCAATAATGGAAGTGTAAAGCGAAAGCCATCAAATCAAAGCTCTAATAATCAGATTGTGCCAGTCCTAGACATGAAGAAAGTATCTATCAAGTAAATCCAAAATATGATGAAGCGTAAGCCAGTTCCAATATAATTCATTATAGAAAAAGCAGTATCCAAACGTGAGAGCAAAGAATCTGGTGTGAATCATGCTCAGCATCAGAATAATTTGAGGAAACAGAATGAGACAATACCTTAAAATCAGCTATCAAACATTGCTGACTCAGCGCTATACAAGAATCTAACTCAAAAACTTATCCAGGAATAATAATAGCATGGTTAGCCTCCACTTCTACAGTAAACTCAAAACTTTGTGATAAGTAATAGTAACAATATGTAGAACTTGAATTTGTCCAGTGGCTAGTCAAGTAAATTTAACCTTATCAAAAAGTAGTCTACACCCTCTAACAAATAGTAATAATAGCAATAATAACAGTAGCAATAACCATTGCAGTAACAATCCAACAAGAGTTTAATAAATTAATTTGAAAAGCGACTACAAAATAATTCAAAGAATAAAGGCAGTCTGAATACATCACAGAAAGAGCAGTAAATAATGCTATAGTAGCAACAATAGTAGCAAAGCATACCAACAACTGCAACTAATAAAAACCATAAGTCCTTTGTATTTGATTTAAGCAATCAGCAACCGAATGGGAAGAAATCTGGAATTGCCACAAGTAAGCAGGTGAATGCCAAGAAAAAGCTAAATCTGACAGGAACTATACCTAAGGGATTACTGAGCCCTACTAATAATAGTAAAAAACCTAAACATAGTGATTACTTTGATAATAATGACATTAGTGGAGACATTACTTTTGAGCACTAAGACCATGAACCCTCATCTCATCCAACAAGAATGATCAAGAAATCTCTAATAATCTCTAATGATAAAAGCACTCTAGATCCAAATACCAATCCTTAATACCACATAGACTAACTTCTCTACCAGTAGCAATAAGTGGACAAGTACAATTAGCTTCTTGAACAATATTAAAATCACGAAAGCCATCACTCAGATCTTGATGGAAAGTTAAACATTCAAAAAGAGCTCCTTGCTTAACAACTGCTTATCAATGATGATTACTTACCTCAGACATTCACTACTAATAACAGACTCAAGTTGAATCAAACCACAAAGGTAGAAAGGCATGAAAGCTTTTCCCCTCCAGCAGAATAGAGTTTTGCCTTCAAGAATATGATAATTAAACCAGACACCATTAAATCACAGGTATTCACCAGTGGCACAGGTTAATAAATAAGGAAACCCTCACATTAAAAGACACTCACACTGCCTAATGCAAACATGATAAACTTTCATAACTATTAAGATCAGTCTGACAATATGCAAAATCATAATAAGAATGACTGCTATGAAGATTTAAAGAGTAATGAATACAAGACTAATTAGAAACTACTTTCAACTGGTTAAACTCCAAGAGTAATAAGGTAGAAAAAGAACTCATTAGGTGGGGATGGCATTGTCTAATAAAAAACTGACAACATCACAATAAGGAAAAAGAATGCATAGTAGATGCAGATTAAAAAGAAAATACAGATCTAATTAGATCTAAGCGATGATGAAGGTATAATTATAGACTAGTAAAACTAGTTTAAAGGCAAGGAGACTGTTGACACTTACGATTATAAATAAAATCAAATTGAATTCGATTTAAAAGCTAATCAAGATATGAAGTTGAGGACTTAGAAAATAAGTGAGATTGCTAAAATTATAAATAATGAATTGAAGGATGCGAAGAGAATTGATAAATCTTAGAATAAATATTAAAGCTAGCAAAGCTAACCGCTTATTAATCAAAATTTTTCACCCAGCTCAACAAGCAATAAGCATAATTTTTTCCTGACCAATCAACAATAGTAATCCCATAACAATACTAAAACTGTCAACCAGTCAAATTCATCTAATCAGCAACTGAACCCAAACTAATTGTAATAGCCACCTTAATCCTCAGTCAATATCAAATTCTAAACTAGAAGAAAATTTTCACATTAGTCAAATGGTTCTAAAAGTTCCTCGAGACTTTCGCCTTCATACAGTGGCAATTAAAGTGCTGTTGTCTAATAAGAAGAGATAAATTTCCCTATCACAGCTGCTAAGGCAATTAAATTATTCATGAATCACTTAACTGACTATGAGAAAGGAGAGATTTTAGACTATAAATAGGTGTATTATCTTGGTGTAGGAGCTAAAAAGATCAAAGGATCTCCTTATCAAAACTATAACTCAGGATATGATGATGAAAGAGGTGATTATAAAGTAGTCATAAAAGACCACATTGGATTCAGATGGGAAGTATTAGAATTTTTAGGCAAGGGTAGCTTCGGATAGGCTTTGAAATGCTTTGATCATAAAACTCAAGAGATTGTAGCAGTGAAACTGATAAGAAATAAAAAAAGATTCTAGCACCAGGCTGGAGTTGAGTTAAAGATATTACAGCATCTTAAGTAAAATGATCCAGATGACTAGTACAACATTATTAGAATCAAGGATTACCTGATTTTTAGAAAACATTTAGTCATCTCTTTCGAGTTGTTCTCAATCAATCTCTATGAATTCATTAAGAACAATAACTTTTAAGGAGTATCTCTTTCATTGATAAGAAGATTCGCTATACAAATGCTATAAGCATTGAAATATTTGAGAGAAGAGAGCGTTATACATTGTGACTTGAAACCTGAGAATATCCTATTGAAATTTCCTGATAAATCAGGCATCAAGATTATTGATTTTGGTTCTAGTTGCTTTTAAGATGAAAGGATTTACACATATATCTAGTCAAGATTTTACAGAGCTCCAGAGATTGTTCTTGGCATCCCTTATACCGCAGCTATAGATATGTGGAGCTTCGGATGTATTCTAGTTGAGCTTCTAACTGGCTACCCAGTTTTTCCAGGTGAAAGTGAATAAGAATAATTGGGCTTAATAATGGAACTAAGAGGTGTTCCACCAGATGAAGTCCTAGAATAGTCAACAAGAAAGAAGATATTCTTTGATGAAGAGACCAATGATCCTATCTTAGTCCCTAATACAAGAGGGAAAGTAAGAATACCAGGAGCCAAGAACCTCTAAGGTCTATTGAAGTATCAGAGTCCTACTTTTCTTGATTTTATAGATAGATGCCTGGACTGGAATCCTGAAACTCGTATGACTCCAATAGATGCACTCATGCATGATTGGATAATCGAAGGTCTTCCACCAAAGGTTTTGATCCATCATCAAAGAATATTAGGCTTAGGATTGAGTGATAAAAATGCTAATCATAAGTCATAGCCGCACATTAGAAATCAACGATCTTAGCCATCACAGTCAACTAAAGCAGCTCATAACAAGCTAAATAAAACTTGTCTTATCTCCGAAGAGATTATAAATCAAATGCCAGAGCCAAAGGATACAACTCTAAGCAAGAGAGGTAAATCTTTGAATAAAACAGGTATGGTGGTGATAGATGAGAGTGAAGATTTAGTTGACATAGATACCTGCTACTTTTTACAAAAGAAGCAATAGTAAAAAAAGAAGAAGCTACTCGAGAATCAAAAGTAGCAATTGAAGCAATAACTTCAGAATTAAATGATGATAATGGAGGATGATGATGATGAAGAAACTGGACAGAACTTTGGTGAATAGCAAAAGAGTAAGACTACGAATCTAGCTGACCTATTATATGAAGTCAAGAATGACAGGAAAAAACAGCATTAGTAGGATATGGATGAAATACCAGGTTTAAACATGAAAAACAAAGCTAAAATGTTTGAAAACACACATGATATCAGCAAGCTGAAGAAAAATTCATTCTTTTCTTAAAGTAATCATTGATTCCGTTAAATTATCCATTTAGATAACCTGGAAGATCATATGCAGTTTAATGATGAAGATGTTGAAGATGAGGATATGGAAGGCATTTTATTACCATTTGATGAAAGAGACAAACAGGATAATGGAATAAAACACAACCTCAATAAAAAGAACAAAATACCTTTCAGTTTCCTGATGCATCACTATATGAAAACCAATACTGGGCAGCAAGTTGCTGCATAAAATCCTAATGTTGGTGTAAGAATCTATTTAATTTATAAATATTATAGTTCTATAAGCCTCAAGGCAATAACATAAAACTAAATAACTTTATGGGATCAATTGGAACAAATCAAGCTTCAAGTACACAGAACAAAGTAAATTTGAAAAAGGGCTACGTCAATATGAGCAGTAACATATGATATCGAAAATCAAATTGTTTCAACACATAGTAATTACTCTGATATAAACAAACTCTATTATAAACTTGTAAATTTGAGCTTTCCTATATAACTCAACTTAGCTATGTTTAATCAATTTTATTTTGCATCAATTTTATCCAAATAATTAGAGAATTCGTTTATCATGGGGTTTTGGGGTTTTGGGGTTTTGGGG